AGGGAATTTTGCAAGTGTGTGGAGGAGCCTCCAAAGAACATGACCACTCCATGTGGCGTTCACTAGCTCTTTTCCAAAATAATTTAATACAATAGTTTGATTGTACATGTACATAGAAAATACTGATAATGATATGGACTGTGGTCAGCTGAGGATTTATGTATGCATTGTGTAAATTTGTCATGTTTGCAAACCATGTACAAACCAGTACATTTTGATTTATTTTAATTTTATTGACATTGAACATATGTATTAAATAAAAGTATAATGTAATTACCCGAAGTGTTCGTAACAGTTTGTAATGCCGTTTGCTAGGATCGGGGTTAAAATTAGCCAAATAATCCATAGCTTCCTCCTTTCTATCGAAATATCCTCCGTCAGCTTCTCTTGGTGACAGATCGCTTTATGTCAAAAAACTTCATCTTGCGATCTCCATTCCCTGTTCGGTTGGTACAACCCCACACAACACAGGTATTTACTATTATCGGTGTTCTTTTGTGTATTTAATATCTATCCATACGCTCTGCTGTTACACAAGATGGCGGACTACGGAACCATGGGTAGTAGGGGGATATCATCGGAAAACTACACGCTCTGTTGCAACACAAGATGGCGGACTACGGAACTATGGGTAGTAGCGTGACGTCATCAGAAAACTAAACAGGGAGCTGTGCCTCTTATCCAGTACAAACTGGTTCGCATGACGCGTGCCCGTTCCTGTTCCTCAATATGAACTTCACAGAAATATTTGTTCTACAGCATGACTCTCTACAGTCTGTGTAATGTCTTTAATGTATGTGCGAGAGAAGTGTTCCTGCTGATCGTACAATAAAGTGCAGGTGTGCCTCACCTCAAGGGGTCTTTGATGATCAAAATTAAACTTGTGCTGCGCTCATCTCTATACTTTAATTTGTTTACAGTAAATATGAATTGCTTAGACACAAGAAGAGTGCTCTATCATTTCTATTAAGAAACGTTCTTTGTAGGACAAATATGTTCCTGTGGATATGATTGTGTTGGTGTAAGTGGAATTAAAAGAGGAATACTGACAGCATATGAAGCATTACCAGGTACATGCTGTTGGATGAATAGTGAAATAAGATGCTCTTTTCGATTCTTACAATTGTAAATCTGACTCCAGAAGAATCGGTGCCTCACCAGCTACGAACCCCACCGCACGTCATTCACGATTATCATTCTCATCTGGTCCAGCCTATGCTGCCACCCAATAAATATCTCCAAACATAACCGTTCTTAATCTACTACACAGTATTCCAGGATCTGACGCCCACTAGTCAAGTTGATCAGGTACCAGACAACAGAACATTATGTTAGAGTGGGACAATGCAGGACAAACCTCCCCCTGAGGGAACCGACCTGCTCACCACTGGTCAGCGTTTGACAAACACTGAGAAAATGTTCAACCTTTTTGACTGCATTATTTGCCTCTACTTGTTTATGTGAGTCAGTCACAAGACGATTGAAGAAGAATCACTTCCCGTTTTTCCTGTTGTTGTTGTTTGTTTGTTTTTTTAATTAGGGTTCTCCACAGTCGTAGTACTCCACACACTTATTTGGCAGAGTTTTTATACCGGATCTCTGTTCTGACACAATCCAAACTTTGGGAAGTCGGTGGTATGGAACCCAGAGCCCACAAGTGGCATGCGGAGGAGCTGCCTGTGAAGATGATTAAAGCCAAAGGATGTTCCACCATGACTGATCGTCATTTGGAGACTTGCTTGGCTACTAGCAGCTACTGTCCAGACGTAGAAACCCTGTCTGATTCCATTCAGTTGACGTCATCAGAGTTCGGGTCTCTTTTGCTCTCATTCATCTTCACATTGTGGTGTGTTTTTATTTCTTAGCTTTCACATGGTTTTAATTACTAATGGCATGGTGTGCACTTTGTAGACTTTGTCAGACCGTCTCATTGTCATTCAACACAAAAGGAGATAAACCTTCACCCGTCATGGAAAATTTTTATATGATTAGCCCTATTGCAGGCGTTGTAAAGAAGGCTGCGGTTCTCCGACACTAAATAAGGCAACATGGTTTGCTTCCGCTGACAAAGTCTACAAAGTACACAAAATGCCAAAAGCAATTAAAACCATGTGAAAAGCTAAGAAATATAAACACACCACAATGTGAAGATGAATGAGAGCAAAAAACACCCGAGCACCCGACCCACCTTTCACGTGACAAATGAAACGAATCTGCGAGAACGAGGCGAAAGATTAGTTCACAGAGAATGATCCGTTTAGAGTGATTAGTTCACAGCAAATGATTAGTTCACGGCGAAATATTAGTTCACAGTAAATGATTCGTTCACAGCAAAAGATTGCTTAACTTAAAAAAGTACTCATAAGTACACATCTGCAAAATTTGACATTATGTTATTGAACATTATTATTATTGCTTAAGTTATATACTATTTTCGGTTTTTGGTGTTTTTCTGTCCATACTGATCACACATTGTTTTACCAAATAATTATTATTATTTTTGAATAAAATAAAGTGTGTCTTGCTGAATTGTAAACATTTTTATACCATACAATTTAAAGTACAGATCAGCAAATTCTGTAATTTAAATATAAACTTAACTATACTATACTATACTAACTATAATACTGTTAACTTTAGTGTAATTACATATTTGTAACATTACAGTATTTCCCTGTTAA